TTTCCTCTGGAGGCCGTAGAGACCATTTTCTTGACCTATTTGTTTCCCTGAGAGAGATTTCCAGGGGTGGTTTGTATTGCTGCCCTCTGGTGGTTGTCAGACTAGGTTCCGTGGAGCCCTTGAGCTCTCAGCGGGCACCCCACGGCTGCCTGGAAGGCCAGCGGTGATACTGAGCAGGCGCCCCATCCACAGCCCCATGGTCCCTACCTCAACCTGAAAACAAAATCCACTTCGATCTGGTAGGATGTCTTCAATTTTATTTGTCCAAAGGATCTTTCTGCTTAAAAAAAAAAAAAAGGAAGTTTGACAGCCACTTAAATTGAGTCCAAATCCCTCATTTTGCACTTGTCAGAATGAGCTAGGGTTGACTTTTCCTCCACTCCCTCTTTGTTCTTTTAAATTTAACTTTAGTCCTTGTTCTTTAAAGGAAGCATAGGGACACTGGCATCTGAGAGTTAGAAGGGCTCTCAGGATCACCTTCCGCCTTAGCCGTGGTAGGTTTTCATCATGCCCATTTTACAGGTGAAACAACTAAGGCCTGGAGGCCCAGAATGAGTCAGGCGTAATCTAGATTTGGGAATATTTTAAACTCCATCTCAAATGGCATCAGCAACAGCCTTTGCTGTAATCTTTGCTCCTGAAAGAATATGGAGTTGCAAAGATTCCAATCTAGCCCAGAGGCTAACTCTTCAAACATGGATTTAAACGACACATACAGGGGCTTCTAAACCAGGTTAGGTTGGAGTTTCTCCATGGAGGAGTGAAAAAGTCCCAGCTTTGAAGTCAGGGGTAAACCTGGGCTCAAATCCTGACTCAGCCACTTCCCATTATGTGAGCTTGAACAAATCATTTCACCCCTCTGATCCCCCCTTTTCTCATCCATGAAATGGGGGGACAATAATTCTTGATTTAGAGGGTTCATTTAACAAATGTTTTAAGATGATTAAGACAGGCCCTGCTCTCACGGACATCCATTTCGTGACTAAGTAAAAACTCATGTAAAGAACCAGGCTTCTGGGTGCTCGTAGAAGGTGCCCATTCTTTCCCCCCTACACCCACAGGGCATAATTCTCAGACCCCAGAAGTCACTGGGGGGCCAGCCCCGTGGCTTAGCAGTTAAGTGCGTGTGCTCTGCTACTGGCGGCCCGGGTTCG